TGCAACATCTCTTTTTCATTGACCGACGGTCATGATGTCGAAGGGGCCAACGGCAATCAAGGGTTTTTGTTGCGAGAATTACTGAAAGATGACGATGCGTTTTTGTCTAAAGCGCCGTCAAAAGAAGAAGTAACATCTCGAAGATTAACAAAAGCGGTACTGTATTGTTGCATCCTCAGCAGCCTATGGAGATCGCAAAGGTCAGAGAATACCTTAGCCAGATGGTGTGAAGTGTTAAATTATTTTTATGTGTGAGTCTCACAAATTGAATGGTGGATTTTCAGGTTGATGAAACGAATTAGCTGGAAGATGGATATGCACAAGGAACTGATGCTGCATGTGTATTCAGAGGTACATTGTTGATGAACGTTTTAGAGGCCTGATAGTTGATGGATTGCAATGATTATTCATCTGATTAGTGATGGATTTCAGTGGAGTTTCGCATGATCTAATTGACCCATTAGACACCTCTCGAATGCGTGCCCCTAATAAGAATCCATTCGAAATTATTCAACATTCCGCGGCTAAGAACCGTAATAGTAGGCGTAGAGAGAAAACAAAATCAAACCGCGAGCCGAACCACCTGTGGCCGACCGTGATGAATGCTGATTGGCTACCGCCGCTTTATCATTTCCGTGCGCGGGTCGCGATCCTCTTTTGTCTATACGCGCGATTCTTTTGTTTCTTCGTGCTGGTTCTTTTGTTTGCCCGGAAAGGTACCGACCTACAGCGCATTTTTCCAATCGCCGCTGGCAGTTTCTTGGCCATTGTCATCGATCGGTTTGTTTGTCACTTGATCAACCAACTTCAGATCGTTTGGTACCGATTAGGTTGTGGATGATGCTACCAAACCTCTTTTAAATGGTAGGAAAAAATGACGGACATTTACTCGATGTTCCCCGACTAAGACAAGGTCATCACAGGTTATACTGGGTGTCGATCTGACCTGTGCTGCGTGTACAGTCGATAATTATTAGTCGATTCTCAGAAGGCTGCTGAAAAGGTCACGAACACCATACAAAGTCGTGGTGAGACGTGACTCGAATGTGACATTAGTTGCTTGGTCAATATTCAATCGCTTACCTGGTCGAACTGATAAGTATTGACCAGCTGAAGCTGTTACGGCTTCTGCCCAAGGGAGGAACTAATAGTAGATTATTTCATAATTGGAGTGTGCTCGAAACACGAAATTCGTTAGCATGATAATTACTAATCTGTTCAATCCTAGCTTGAGGGTGTTTCCTTAAAGCTTTGGCTTCTTGTTGAGTGTTTATTTAAAATAGGGCTTCATAGTCAACAATGATTCTTAAAATAAACATGTGACAGGAGAGAAGCCACAGTCTAATTCGCAGTCTGGCCCTATAAGCGTCACTGTTCTTCTGGTCGACTGTATTGAATATACGAGGGTAACTCAGGGACAGTGTAAAGTTAATATAATGTACATGAATAAAATATTGACCAAATTGCTGTTATAAAACCCGGTAACAATCAAAAGCCCATTCAAGAACTTTTCAAAAATTGACTATGACTCAAAACCAGAGCTTTTCTCGCATATAGAACGCACTGTGAAGCCATCACACAATGCACCCAAAAGTGGAGGTCCATATCCATGGGTTTCTGAAAAATATATGCAAAAGTTAGAGCTGTTAAACAACCACAAAATAATATCGCAAATAAAAAAAATCTCGAAAATTCCCTAATGATCACTCAAAATAGAAACAAAATAGAAACAAATTAAGATTAAAACGCACTATGTCCGACAAAATGCATACAACAAACAGGCACTGCCTAGTTTGACTAATTTCTGAGGAAATAACTTTGAAAGTCCACTCTGTATGAACACAAAACACAGAAAACTAACAAAATTCTAAAAATTTCCTTAGGATGAGTCAAAACAGAAACATAACACGTACTTTGCCCTACGCAATTTATGGAATTGTAACTCTTTCACAATGCAAGCTATTGACCAAATAGATGTGAAATTTCGATCTGCCTAATCTTTGCGAAATTCACATCCAATTTTACAAAATTCTTAAAAGTTGGGTATTGATGACTTAGAATTGAAGATTTTGAAACTTTCAGATGAATGTCTGCTCAACAAAATACATGCAAAATGGGCTCTTTCGTTTAGTTACTTACGAGTAAACAAATGTCAAACTGCGACCTGCAAAAATAATCTCGCAAATCAAACGTGATTTTGTGAAATTGTTAAAAACTCCCTAATTATGAAAATATTAACTTTCTGTAGTTGTATAAGAGACGTGGCCCTACAAACAGCATTAAAAACTGAGTTTATCACTTCTTCGCCAGTTACACAGAAAATAATTGCTAGTTCCGGCCTGCTAAAACCACCACGCAAACCGCGAAGTTTTTTAAAATGTCCTGATGACGACTGAAAGTGTCGAAATGCTTTGCACTTCTAGAGCAGATTTTGATCTGAGAACTGGATGGTAATTTGACTCTCTAGATTTCCAACTTTCTGAACAAATAAATGCGCTCAAGCTGCGTTCTGCTTAAATATCCACGAAAAGCCCATGCGATTTTGAAAAATGCCTGAAAACTGCTTAACGACGCCTGAAAATTTAAACTGTTGAGACTTGTAGAAAATACTTTGCGCAGAACAATACATGCAAAAACGACTCTCTCGCTTTGTTACTTCATGAGTAAATAAATGCCAAACTCCGACCTGCAAAAACAATCTCGTATTCCAACCGCAATTTTGCAAAATTGTCAAAAATTGCAGGATTAGAACTGAACATCGCAACTTTCTTCGGTTACATAAAAGACTTTGCGCTACAAACTCCCTAAAAAACTGAGTTTACCACTTTACAAGTTACAGAGAAGATAAATGCTAACTCCGGCCTGCACAAACCGCCACAAAACCTAGACACAATTTTGAAAAATTTTTGAAAATTGCCTGATGATCATTGAAAGTCGAAACGTTTCGTGCTTATGGAGCACGCTTTGAGTTATAAACCTCAATTAAAAGTGAACTTCTGTGGTTGCAATTTTCAGACAAAATAAATGTCAAAGGACGATCTGCTTAGATATTCGCGAATATCTCATGTAAATTTGAAAATTTGTGAAAATTACTTGATTGTGACTAAAACTCGCAAATTTCTTCACTCATACGAAGGACTTTGTTCTACAAACAAGAATCCAAAATTTAGTTTTTTTAGTAGTGAGTTACAGAGAAAATATATTCTATACTCTTGCCTGCAAAAACGACCACGAAAACCATAGACAATTTTGCAAAATTCTTGAACATTGCCTGACGATGACTGGAAATTGAAGCCTTTTGCATTTGTAGACTAGGCTTTGATCTTGAAACCCATGCAAGTCTGAAAAATTCTTGAAAATTTTCTTGTTATGACCAAAAATTGCAACTTTCTTCACTTACATAACGAACATTGCCCTACAAAAAAAGAATCTAAAATTATTTTTTTCCCTGTAAGCTTCAGAGAAAATACATGCTATACACTGGCCTAAAAAACGACAAACGCCCTATACGCTTTGAAAAACTTGTTGAAAATTGCCTGATTATGACTGAAAATCGAAGTGTTTTGCAGCACTCTCAAGCGTTTCAACTTCCTGGGCAAATAAATCTCAAACTGCTTGCTTAAATATCCGCCAGGAAAGCGACTGAAAAATTATTGGAAATTGTCTGATGGTGGACTTTTAACACTTGTAAACAACATTTGTCGTTGATAAATACATGCAAAAGCAACTCCCGACTATGCTATCTAAAAATCTATGCTAAACTCCGGCATGCTAAGACTACCACGAAAACCAATCCCGATTTTGAAAAATTTGTCAAAATTGCCTGATGATGCCTGAAAATCGAAACGTCTTGCACTTATATGATAGACTTTGGACCATAAAATTGATGTAAAACAGATTGTCTAGCTTTGGAGCTTTCTGAGCAAATAAATTTTAAGCTATGTCCTGCTTAAATAATCGCAGAAAATTGCCCTCTGTAGAAATTCGAAATATTTGCTAGTTAAATAGAGAAAAGCAACTAAACAGATATAATTAAACATCTTTTTTCTCATATCCCAGTACATGTGAAAATTAGGTCCTAAAAACGCCGTTATTTTGCAACTATTTCTTTAGCTAGAGATTGATTCGTAAACCGTCTTAACAATTATTAATTTTTTTCTTGAACGTTCTAGTCTGTAAAACTAACTGTAAATTCTAAATGTCTAAAATCTCACTTGAGTTTATTGGCCTATTTATTCTCTAGATTTGTTTCATTTGTAGTTTTATTATTGTTTGGTGTATTTAATGTTTTTTTCACCTATTAAACTACAGATGTTGATATAATTTTCAAATTTTCCTACATTGTGTTACTAAAATAGATATTTTCGCTAGTTAAATTTCTTATTGCTTATAAAAAGGTCGATGCACAAAACGAATTCAACAACACCAACATTTCGTATTTAATTGAATCGTATCTGATGAACGTCCTATTGGCTATGTGAGTCAGAATTTACTATCGGAGTCAGTGATGTACGAATTTTTAATTTGTAAGTTTCTTATAAGTATAAGAAAAAAATGTGTTTTACTCAATTAGATCAACGTGAGGTGCATTTATTGCCCCCAAACTAACACCATTTTACAGTATCTTTTAAACTCTTCCAGAGCCGATAAGACCGAATTTGAATCACCCTGTACCATCATACCGCATGTGAATTAATTATTCGAAAACACTAAGTACATGTTAACTGTCAGCAGCGGTAAATGAAATATTCAATTTATTAAACGACCTCTTTTGAAGATAACCGAGTGAGCGGTAAAAGGTTCTGCACAAATATCATTGGACGAGTGAAAGACACCGTAAATCTTAGGCCTATTAAGCGAACCTATTAATTTTAAGTAGCGATGGTGATTCCTTTGGAAAACATATGTCATAGTGACCATTAACAATTTAATTAAGGAGAACAAATGGTGAAAGTAACATTTTATTGCGTTTATAAAATACGAATTTTTTTGGGTTGCAGCGGATCCAGCCGGCTCAAATGAAAACTTGGAAACCACAATATCACCTAGTAAGGCTCTGCGACGAAAACGGATGGACAGAACTCCTTCAAACAATAATGGAATATTGTCTACATCAGCATCGGATTACAGTTTTCTGGCAAACGCCAGCAGCAATGTAAAAAATGAAAGGTACTAGTAGATTTTTCGAAACTAGAATTAACATGTAATTGATATTTTTTTTGTTTTTTTTTTCTTGCTCAGACTCAGCCCGAGTACTGCCGAAAATTCATCTGGATCTCATGGCGTTACGCCTAGCTCAAATACTCATAACGATACCATATCGTCGGCAGATCCTATGGCTTTAGTTGGTAGAGATTGTAGTAACTATATTCGTAAATTAGCTGCCAAATACAATAATGCGAATCCTAATGAGTAAGTATCCAATTCTACCAATCAAAAAGTGTTTTCTGCCATTTTTGACCTGACCTCGTACACTTATTCTGCAAATGGCATATTATTCCACAATGATATTTTAAAGAAACTTTTGCGTTAAACATTTTTCTATATCGCGTTCAAAATATACGCTCATTTTGAAATTCACAATTTTTTTTTCTTGTATCGCTTACGCCTGAGAAAATGTTCAAATTTTACCATTCCAAATTTGACCTGAAAAGATTATGTGACACCTATATGGTATAGGTGGTTTTTCCATGAAAGTGTCGCAAATGGTTGGTCGCAAAAACGGCAACCACACAATACATTTTTTCAGAAGGTAGAAAGATATTTAAAAGAATTTCGATCAGTGGTGATCAAGATTATCAGTGGTGATCAAAACTTTGTAGGATCTGTAAACTTTCGACCATCCAAAATCGGATCGGTACAATACTGGGAAACTAGGAACAACCCCCGATTTCCCTAGTTGTACGCGAAGAACTAATTTTAACATTTACTCTATTATTTACGTCAGGCTAATCGCTCCATCGATATTTCTCATCGCAAATAATTTTTTTTATAGAAGCTGATTATTATCTTATTACTGGCCAAGGAAATACTGAAAAACTCCGGAATACCACCGAACTTTCATAGTTTTACGCACATAACTAACACACAATCTATAATTTGCGCCAGACTAATCGTTCCTTGGGTATTTCTCATCCCAGATAAAAACGTTTTCAAAAAAGCGGATAATAACCATGTTACTGGCTAATGGAATACCGGAATCTTGGATCTAGGGGAAAATACCCTATTTTCTCGTGAATTTGCCGACTGAAGAAATAATTTTTAGGACTTTCTTATATTTTTCCTTTATTCCACATTACGTCAAGTATATTCGTGCCAAATTTCATCCAAATCAGTTAACCCAATCTTAAAATATTAGGTCTACGAACAAGCAAAAAAAAAATTCACTCTGTGCGGCGTTAGCTGTAATAGCCTCGAGCCATTTAAAACATCAGACATTTTTTGCACCTTAAAACATCGCCATTTTCTTGGCAATATCGGGCTCTCTGATATTCTCTAAATAAACAAGATGTTCTTGTTCCAAGTCGATATCTGTCACCGATTTGGAGATATTTCACATTGAAACCTCTAGTGATTTATTGAACTAACTAAATTCGGATAAATAAAATTGGCTTAAATTGATACTTTCAAAGTGAGAGAAATGGGCAAAATTCGTTACGGTCAGTTTCGCGTCAGCTAAGTGCTAAAAGAAATATTTTTTTATAACTTTTTATATAATAACTTTTACTTTTACGTTTAATTTATTGAAAATGCTGCATTAACATAACATAATAACAAATAGTTAGTGTTTATTCGTCAGAAAGTTTTTAATGAAAATTCAGATTTGAGCCCTGTTTTTTACAAAAAAAATTTGAGGTTAATAATTTTTTTTTTGGGTGATAGCAAAACTGGTTAACGATCTTTTAAAAAGAAACGAAAAATTTATTTACATTTTGACAACCTGTGCTCGGAAGCTATTAACTTTCGTATCAAGCAAATTTGCCTGAAACGCAATGTTTTTGTCTAAACAATACGTATGTCAGTGTATTTTGTAAAATTAGTTGAGGACCACCCTGCATAACTATTTGAACAACTTCTAAAAAAAGACTAGCATTTATGGTTAATCGCCTTAAAAATTTTAGGTATCTTGTAACTTTTTTTGAGACCCTCCGTATATAGTTCTACCCGCAAAAAGAATAGCAAATAAAAAATTAAAAAGTGCTATATTCTTCTCTCAGAAATCGAGCTCATAACACCCACAGCAGTTTCTGAGAAGCTACTAAGGTTTCCAAAAAAAAACTGTGAAAGCTACCAACTTTAATCACCCTGTACATTCTGAAAAATTCAGCAAAGTCCTAGGCGGCATCAAATTTTAAAGGCTCCTGCTCTCTTAAACATGGTATAAATTAGCAGTTTTCGATACATGGGCGAAAAGTGTCGACGTCGTCTCGTGTGTCAAGCGCCGTCCTCGTTCAAAAAACGCAACTTAATATTTTAAATCTGACGTCAATGTCATTTTTGAAATTGTCACGTTTTACCGTTTGTAATTTTTCAGAAGAGTACTTTTGTAAGCATATACAAGTGAAATAATGAGTGTTGAAAATTCAAGTGCTGCTTTCACGGTCTGGTGTTCGTATAAGTTGCATATTTTGCATAAAATTTGCGCTATTTAAAAAATCGTGTTTTGCTGGTGGCAACATCGGTGAGCGCAAAAATAGATCATTAGAACAACTTTGAAACTGAACTCGTAACAAAGTTATAATTTACAAATTTTAAGTAAACTTTAAATTATGATCAATAGTTGTCGATAAACCTACGTAATTAATTAAAAAAGCATGTCGGTGACTTTTGAATGAAAATCCTTTACAAAATATAATGACAGTGATACCTTCAATTTGTCACATTTACTTTTGCGCACATGTGTGTAAAAGTCGGTGCGTAAAGTAAAATAAATGAACAGTAGAGAAAAGTGCTTCTTTATGATCATCGCTTCTGATCGAATAATGGCACTTTGAGGTTCATTCGAATAAAAAATAATATAAAACCATGTTTCAATTATTTTTCGTTTGCAGATACTTTAGCAGAGTAAGAAATGGATTACCACTTAGTATAAACCATCGAGCAAAGCCCCCATTCAGTCCATTGTCGTTTCCTGCTCCACTAATGCCGAGTTTACCACTCCCAACAAGTACCAAAGAAGCTGACGTGGCTGCAAGGAAACCGGAGTTTCCGTCGTTAATAAATCCATTTCTTGGATCACCGCCGATTATATCAGCATTTATCGATATGTCTACAACCAATCGCTTATTGAGCATGGCCAAACTTGCAAGGGAAACTGAAATGCAGGTATGTGAAAAAGACGAAAATGTCTGAAAACGCGAAAACGATATGGGACAGTATAACAACAACTTGCCATTTTATGCCAACGCAACAAGCCCCAGTCAAAAGATTCCTACTAGAACCTTAATGAAGGCTTAAGTACAACTGAAACGTTCAACTTTCAACTCGAATAATTGAACCGAAACCAATCATTCTTCAATTCCACCAACTTTCGACAGTAACGGTCTCCACAAACATAAATAATTGCTGAACATGACAAAACAATCATTGACTAGAAAAAATCGAAATCCATGTCTGTTCTGATTGCGGGTTTGGCCCTTGATTGAAGCATTTATTCAGGTCTTCATCAAGGGGCTACTCATCAAGGAGTAGCTGTCTTCGATTACCAAGGTGTTGCCTTTCGTCGGTTTTCCAAAGTACACGTGAATTCTTGTCCACGGCTTTTGGGCTTCCGGCCAAGGTTTGAGCGGCTCTTTGACAGAGCTCGCCGCTGACTGTGCACATTTGGAGCAGGATTTGACCTTGCGCTCAATGTCGTCAGGCATTCCAGGCCAGAAAAAATGGCGTCGAGCAAAGTTTATCATCCGCCGAATATCAGGATGACCACGATCAAGCTGCTGCCAATTCGGAGTCATTCCTATTCTTGTCGGTCCATCCATTCTTGACTCTTTTCATAACTTTCTGAAGTATGGGACTGTGCTGAGTCTATTTTCCGAGAATTTTCCTGCCTCTTTGCGATCCATCGCACCCATTGTGATCGGGGTCAGATCAAGGTCTGAGTGAACCGCGGCGATGACCTGCTCCATCTCGGGGTCCAGAGTGTCCTGACGGGTGTCCAGGATGAGGAGCGAGAGGGCGATTGCTTGTCCATATTCGTCGGTCTTATCGAAAGTCGCATCCGATCAAACAAAGAGCCCAGCGTCGTAAACATGCACCGTTCGCTGAGTCCCTTTGTGTTACTGGTGTTGAACAGTGCCAGAAGATGACAGTGGTCGGTCTGTAGGATGACATGTATTCCCCACACGAACTTGAGAAAACGTGCGACTGCGGTGACCAGTGCCAGTTTCTCCTTCGCGATCTGGCTGTAGTCCTGCTAATACTTGGTGAGCTTTTTGCTCATATGAAAGACCTTATTTCTTGTTTCCATCCGATTACCTATGGAGCATGACTCAACCTCTACCAGTGTCACATGCATCGGCTACCACTATGAGCGTCTGGCAGGCATCGTAGTGGGCGAGAAGCAACGGTCCAACGAGAATCTTTTTTATGGCCACGGAAGAATCCTCGTGTTGCTGCCTCCACTTGAACGATACATGTTTACAGAGCAGGTCTTCTAACGGCGATTTGAGTCTGTAGAGCCGATCAACAAACTTTCCATAATGGTTGGCCAGGCCTAGAAGAGCTCGTACATCCTTCCTTTTGGTGGGCGGGTCGGCGTAAGTTTTGGTCACTCCTTGGTCACTGACCACGATTCCCAGGTACTTCACCGAGGGGGTGTAGTTTTAGCACTTGGTGTAGTCGTTGGTCATGCCCCTCGCGGTCTGGAGCCATGATTGGCATGTCGTCGAGGTACACGATCACACCATCAATTCCGGAGAAACACGTCTCTACAGTACGTTAGAAGATGGCCGGAGCTGGCTTGCGTCCGAACACGAAGCGATTGTACTGAAACTCAGTGTGTGCAGTGATCGTAGTGTGCCGTCGGCTTGCTTCATCGAGCAGAAGCGGATTGTAGTCGTTCGAGAAGTTGAGTTGACTGAACACTTTGTTCCCACTGAACTTGGCCATGATGTATTCCATGTGCGGGATGGGATACTCGTCCGAACATTATTCTTAAACGATCGGTATACAATTTTCGGATTCACTCTAACTCACTCACTAACTCGCTACGGAGATTTATAGTCTATATACCAAGGGTTCTAGTCAGGCAGTTAATGTTCTCGACATCACAATAATACCAGTCCTAACCTGGAATGTTCTCGACATCATAACAATACAGTCCAAACCAAAAATGGTCTAGAATACTCGCTCGGCGGTAGAACTTCCGGACCCAACAAGTTTCGTGTAATAAACAAAATAAATGAAGATCAACTGAAATCAGGATAACTACCATAAACAATGACAAACTCACTTTCACAGTGCCCTACTTTGAAACCTTGTGCTTTGTTAGCTTTCAACAATTGGCCTTTATTGTTATATTTGATTTTTAAATGTTTCCGTTTAGGAGCTGTTCAAATGTATTAAGCGACCAGAACCATCCGGACCCATGGACTTGTCATCAGCAGCACCTGTCCCCAAAAGAGCACGTTCAAACACCGTTTCCATGAGTATGTCGAGCAGTAGCATAGGGACTCCGCCCAGTGTGCCAAAAACGCCGGAAAGTCCATCTCTCCAAGAGGATATTAGTGGATGGTCCGTGGAAGACGTCGCAAATTTCCTAACTGGAATTGATATTTGCGCCGAATACGCACCGGTAAGTTCACTTTCAGATCTAATTTTAATGGTATTGCATATTGGAGGACCTTTATTTATCAAAAAGATGGAGAACTTTCTTTTATTTTAATGAATTTTTATGCGAATTTTTGTTTTGGTATTTGCTGAGCAGATTAACTGATTTTTAAAGTACCGGGTGTACAGGAAGCACATGATCAAACGAATACCTCGACATTCTTTGGCTCAAATAATGTTTGCATCCCATGACCCATATTTGAAAAAAAAAAGTTTTTTTTTTTTAATTACATTTTGGAAGATTTAAGTCAAACTCGCTGTAAATTTTTTCTGATGCAGCACTCATATTTTCATGAAAAAAACCGAGTTGACCTGTTTAGGGCAAGTGGTGAATTCTGCTGCAAAATTGTATTCTTGGTGCATGGATTGGCACAAAAATTACCTGAAGTTTTTATTTCGTCACTAGCATCAACTCATTTTCATCATCAATTAACATGGTCAAAGTTTTAGGCGAGTCGCTCTTTCGAAGCGATTTCGTTCGAATCACGATCCTCAGAAATGCGGTGAAAAGAATATTTTTTTTTGGATGAGCGCAGTAGATTTATCAAAATATGGCGTTCACGACGAAACAAATCAACAGCAAGTTTTATAAAAATATTATGACCAGAATTTACTTAATTGAAATTTCGTAAATTCAAAAAATTTACGAATGTCGTGAAGAAGAAGGCGAAGAAGATGAAAGAAGAACAAAAATAGAAGAAAAAAATGTTTCGCTTTTCTTGCTACTTGACCATGTTAGATATTAACTGCAAATATCGTGATACAAGGCATAAAATAATTGTCAATTTAATCTATCAAATGCGTTTTGAATAACCTTTTCTAATGAAGACGTGACCGACATGCTCAAAGTATTAGGGTTTTGCGAAGACAACTTGCGGGAAAGCGTACGCGTTTACGCGGCGCATATTTGCAGTTAATGTCAGCATTGTTAAGTGGCTAGAAAACAGAAATATAATTTTTACGCAAAACTGTGAATGTTAAAGGATTTTACAAAGAGTACAAAAATGTTGAATAGGGATTCCTGCATCCACTTAAAAGAAATCAGCTAATTCTAGCTACGAAATAAGAAGTTCTGGTGGGTTTTGTACTAAGTACACTCAATAATTTACCACTTGGCCAAATCCGATAAACTGGGTGCTTCATCATAAGTTTTATAAAAGAACAAATTTACCGCGAGTTTTTATGAAGATCCATTATGTCAATCTCCCAATATTGCAAAAAAATTAATTTAAGTTTTGCAATTCAAAGAAGTTAACGAATGTCTAAAATTGTTAACAGGTGAGAAAACAAATGTTTTTTTGCGCAAAATCCATAAATGTTACAAGATTTTGCAAAGAGCACACAAATATGAAGAAGGGCATCATCTAAAAAAAAAGCAGTGGTTTCCAACTACGAAATAAAAAGTTCTGGTAGTTTTTGTACCAAGACACCAAGTATTCCCCACTTGCCCAAAGTGGATGGAGTCGGTTGCTTCATCAAAACATGAGCCTTATATAAGAACAAATTCACAACGTGTTTTATTGTTTATATGTGCGATCTTATCATTTTCCGGAAATTTCATATTTTGTTCTGACAAACGTTGACCATCAATAGCAGAGGAGCCAGACATTTTTTTGATTAAACTTTTTAAAATTAAATTAAATTAGGCCTGATCGTCTCCTTTTGACCCAGAAAATATCAGTACCTTTTCCGTCATGTGCTTACTGGAACACCCTGTCTGTAACTGTTCAAGTAGATACGACAAGTGCAAGTCGTTCATTGAAAAGATGCAAATGCTGATCAATATTTAAAAAATGCATACATTGATTCAAGTGATTTACCTGACGTAGTAAATCAGCATTAGATCCTCAATATCAACCATGCAGAAGCATAGACTGAACGCATTTTACTACTGAATAATTCGAAATGAAACAAACGCATACAATTTCGGCTTTTTGATTGCTGATGGAACGCTTAAAAGTTCCCATCCATCAAAATGTTGACCTGATTTTAAAATATTATCCTTTTTCCAAGCTCGGTAATTTTAGCAAACCAATCCGTCCACATACGTTCATATTGATTGATGTATGCTAATAATACACCCGGTTTGAGCAGTGAAAATATTTAACTTTCCTAGTAGGTTGTTTTTTAACTACACCATTACTGGAGAAAATATGATAAAGCTGGACGGATGAACTTGGCAAATATAGACACTGTATTAAGTCGAAAGATAATAAAACCTGCAAATGCCATTTAGCAGATCAACAGAACTGATTGGGCCTGTCCCAGAATTGATTAATCATTTCTCGCTACCCATTATGCAGGCAGCGCTTTAATCCACTTTTTATTAAGTATTTATTTTTTATTCAAATATCTGAACAATGTGATTTAAACAATTATGTTAATGAAACGTGTAAAGCGGTGGCTCACCGTTCGGTAGTCCCCACAACGGGAAAAAGAGATAGTTTTTGATTGTTGAAAGGATACTTCAGAAAGGTGAACAAGTAGTTTGGCGAAATAGAATGGGTAGTTGACCTTTCGGTGATTGATTATCTGTTTTTTTTTCGTTGGATAATTGATCCTGACGGTCCAAAAAAGAATTCGTGTGCTGTTATCTCTTGGAAAATTATGTTTAGAATGCAACGATCCAAAAAAGTCGAAAAATCAATAGTGTCCGGCAGCTAATAACAAAAGAGATAATCGTTTTCGATCGGACAACCGTCACGGCCTACTGGAGGCGAATCGGCGGCCGAAACAATTGAATATCGCGACCGCAAAGGCGTTCCGGTCGATGCTGAACGATGCTTTGCCAAGATACCAGCAACGCTTGTTTTTGTTCTTTTGGACAATTGGACACTTGCCTAGATTTAGTGCTTAACTTTTTATCCGGTACCATCTCTGTTTCAATTCATTCATTATTTCGTTATTTTATTTTATTTTATTTTTTCAATAATTCCGCCTACCTACAAGTGAATCTAATTATTAATCAAGCGAGTAGAACTTTTCAGAATGCTATGGAAAATAATTTATTTCTGATGTTTTTCAACCACGAGTGCCTACGTTGAGTAAAAATAATCGTTTTCTGTTTCAAAAAACTCAGCATTTGGCCCTTCCTGGTTAACAATGGGAATATGCGTCCAAACGGTACCTACAATCAGTAACAATAAGTTGTTACACTGTAATGTTTGGACATCGAATTTTCGACTGGATTAAAAAATCCTCTAATACTCTAAAAATGTCCGATGTTTTGACTTTATTCGGGTCGTTCCTCGAGGCTGGAAAGACAGATAAAGCAAATAAATATAAACCACTACAGGCTTTCAAGCCTGGAGGAAGACTTCAAGGAAGGAAGGTTCCAACTTTAAGGAAAAATTAAATTTAAACAAAACACTGGACGGGATGAAATAGGGATGCAGTTTAGGGGTTAATAACGGTTTTTGCAATTGCCGACAAACCGTGTCATGTAAAAGTTGTAGATAATAAAAAAATCTAAAAATTGTGGTAACCTCAAATTAACGGCCAACATGGTAAAATTACAATTTTTCAGTATTTAATTTTTTTCTCTCCCATAAAAGGTTTAATTTACATGAAGATCTGCAAAATTATGTCTTGTTTGGTGTTGAAAAAACATAATTTTTTCCTTGTTCAGAATCCGACGAGTTTTAGAGTTTTGTACATTTTTCAAAAAAACTGACCTTTTCTTCCACGAACATTGTCTTGATATTTTTTTGCAATTCGAAGATTTATAAGTGGTCATAAGAGTGGATTTGAAATACATTTCTAACCATAGTTGCAATACAGCGTACATTTTTTAAGTAATTTTTTTATGATTTTATGTTATTTATTTTAATTTTTTCTACATGGTTTGCGCTACTTACTGTAATCAAATTATTTTAACTGTGATAATCTTAAAATAAAGCAACTTGCATAATGTAAATATAGTCTATTATTAATAGAAATCATGAATAAAATTGAAAACCATTGAAAATATTGAAAAAATCATGACTCAGAAAGACTTTTCAGTTGTTCGCAATTTTCAGCAGTTTAACGATAAATATACCACCAAGTCGCATAAACCATTTTAAAGTAGACATTACAACGGTTAACATTACCACTGCGACCCTTTCGAAATATTGAAAAAGAGAAAGACAATTGTTCGTTGAAGATAAGGGTAATTTGTTCTTATTAGCTTATTCAGCACAAAAAAGACATGCTTGTACAAATTTTTATGAAATTAAATCACTTATGTACCAGCGAAAAATGAAATACGGGAAAATAGGTTTCTCGTCATTTAGATTTAGATTACACACATGAGATTTTTGTATTATCCACAACTCTGCCATTAAAGATTTTCCACTAGGTGGTCACGTTTCGCCGCAAATAGCAAAAACTCGTTATCAACCCCCCAACCTGCAACCCAATTTCACCATCTCCAGTGTTTTCGTGTCTACATTTTATTGATTTTTTTAAGTTGGAATCTCAACAACATTTTCCACCTGGTCCTTGCTTGTTATAATTTTGTTTACAATATGATCATTGGTATGGGCCTAGAGCTTGCAATATACCTTTGACGACCATATATGATACACCATGATAAAAATCATTTTTCACGACGCCCTAAAAGCCTCAAAAGCTCATCAGTTTAATAAAATGCCTCTACGATAATAAAATGGATAATTTAAATTACGCCGAAAGAAAAACGAAGACAGCAAATTTTAGACAAGACTTTTTCTCGATTCGACCTATCGTATAAGCGCTTTCTAGAAAAGAATAATCCTTCTAAATAAACGGCCATCTTATCAAGTACAAACAAATCTATGTGAACAGTCCAGCTTCAACAATACCTCACTTAGGACACATATTCTATAAATATTTTGTTTTGCTGAGAGGTGAAAGTGAGACATCGAGATTCAAAATTATTATGTGAGATTCCTACTCACCAAACTCCATCTGTTTTTCTTGGCTGCCTGGCGCCCTGAGTCTTCA